TGTGGATGAGATTTCTTGATGGAGTGCATCATATAATTTAATATTGAAGACGTGATTTGATGGAATATATTGTGCAATAATCCTTAATATTGATCTAGTGGCATGCTTTGATTTCCCAATAATTTTATTCAAACAAATGCGAGTAAAGTGTAAATTATGAAAAAGAGGAATTATAAGTGGACAATTAAAAAACTAAACTTTGTAAAGTATTTAGTCTAGTGCTTATTCACTATTAAAGAACATATTGACAAGATGACAACATTATTTGGAATTCAACATCCTAGATGTGATATAGGTAAGCACATTTATTGCTGGTGAAAATTTTGACTTGAAATATTTCATTCAGGTTTTCATTTACATTTTTTATTTTGATTTTGGTATATTTTTATATATTTATGAATTGCAATTTTACTAAGTTTATTATTGCAATAAATACGTAAAATAAATTATACAATTCACATAATATTTTTAACTAGTTGTAAGTAGCATTTTGCCTTATGCCTATAGTTGCATGAACTACGTATAAATACGATATGTATGAATATTCGATTCAATCAATAAGAATTGAAAATTGAGATTCAGCTATTTAGATAAAATTATCAAATGTTTATTTCAAAAATAAAGTTTTCGCTTTCACTAAAAACTAATCAATGCTATTTCCAATTGATATCTTCCAAACACAATCGATTTTTTTTTTATTTATTTCCATCAAATTACAACTGCCTAAAAGGGATTCAGTAATTATTATGATTATGACTAAAATAATAAATAATATTTTAAAATATTACCCATTGGTAGTATTCCAAATTTGTATCTATATATATACAGAAAATAATTATACATCTAAATAAGCTGTGCTAAATCTAATGGGTTTAATCTTTGTAATCTCCTGATAGTATTTGTAGAGAGTAGGTTTTTCGCAAGTTCATTTGGATGGTTTTCTAATCTTGTCTTGTATTTGGCTGCGAATCTACTGATTTCTTCTGCTATTGTGTATAAGTTGCAGTCTTGATGGATTAGCCAATTAGGAACGTATTTGGGTGCCTCCAATATTTTCTTAAGGATTTTGTTCTGAGATCTCTGTAGGATGTTTATGTTGGTTCGACTTGCACTACCCCAGAGAGAAAGGCCGTAAGTCCAAATTGGTTTCAAGACTACTTTGTATACCAGATGTTTGTTGTATTAAGTGGATAGTTTAGACTTGCAACCCAATAGCCAGTATAGTTTTTTGAAACTTTCTTCAAGCTGGAATCGTTTTTTTATGATGTGATTTTTCCATGTAAATCTTCTGCTCATGAACACACTTATAATATCAGCAATTGTACTGATTGCACTGCACAAGTACGGAATTATATATTTTAAAAGCGACGTTCGTTAAGACCAAGTCATTTTCTTCTTAACTTTTCATTACGAAGAAACGATTTGGCCGATTTTCGCCAAAAACTGCTCAGTATTATTTCTGAATTTCAAAATGATTTTAATTTTTCAAAGTAGGTTCATTTTCTGCGAAAACGTGGACGAAAGATTTTGCACTCTTCTGCTAATTCTAAAGCATAACTCGTCTCCAGAAACTAATCAACGCGAATTTTTGAACTTCAACCTTATATCGACTTACATATACTTTTTTCCAATTATGGTCTCAAACGATTTAGAATGACTTGAAACGTTGAGAAAAAAAAATAGCAAGCCAAACTTTTTGTCAAAACATAAACTTATTCTGCGGGAAGTTAATTATAAATGCATAATATATATGCACCTAATTAACAATCTTTAAATAATTTATTTCTAAGAAGTTTAAATATAGTTTAAATTAATTTACAATATTTGCACGTTCGTTTGAAGCAATGCATCCTCCTATTGCCAATCAATGCAATCCTGCTGTATTTGCGGTCTTCAAATAGCACATATGACTTAAATTTAGTCTAAGTGTAATATTTACAATTAATTGAATTTCAATCGTAAATCATTTGTTTTAAGTTACATAATTTTCTCGGTTTAAGTTGAGGTGAGAATTCGTAATGGCAGACATTTTAGCGCACGTGTGCATGCAGATTGTATTTCATTGTTGCGAATTAATTCTTGTCACGTTATTTACTGAAATCATCTGTTTACTGTTTATCATCAACTCATTTACGTACAACAGCTTGATTTCAATTTTTCACATATACTATGTGAATTACTAAATTGAATTTAAATTAATTAAAGTATATTTAATTAAAAAAGTACAACTAGTGGTTATTGCATTGTGCCTTGAGGGAGGTGGCTGGAACTTCCCGTACCGAATCAATTTTTTCCCCAAAAACAATCGTTTCGGTAACACAGCATGAATCATTCCAATCGGGTGCCTATTTCTCTCAAAAACGGCTATTTTTACCACATTTAGCTCCGTATCTCCGAAACGGCTGGATCGACTCTTGCCAAAAACTAATCAGCACATCTTCCTATCAATAGGAATCGAATGTTTTTTGAGCCATTCAAATCAGTTGATCCGTGCGCCCGAAAAAGTGGTCAGACAAAATACACACTTCAATTTTTTCCGAGGTATGCCAAAATGTTGAGAAACCTCTGAAACATGAAGATACGCAAACATTTTCATTTTCGATTTTTGGCTCATTACTACAACTTACCCTACGGTCATTTTGCGATCAAAAAAGATCATTAGACACATGCGCATCAAATTAACAATAATTTTATAGAAATTTTAATAATAACTACAAATGTTGTTCTATGAGTTTCGTACCAATGTGAAGATACGCAAAAATTTAAAAGCTTTTTTAAAACTGTTAATTTTTGGTATAGGAAGTTCCAGCAAGTTAGTGATTTTACATTGGCATGCAGTTCTAAAGATTAAGCTGGATCAAATAAAATATAATCGTAAGAGTATTCATAAAATATTACACTGATCAAAATTTAATAAATAATTACTCAAAAATATATTTCTTTAGAAAAGTATTCTGTTTTTTCTCTATTAGATTGGCACAGTTAATGAATACATTATGGGCTTAAGAATTTCGGGAAGTCCAAGTTTTGCTGAACTCTTACTTTTGTAGGTCAAATAAAAAGACCTAGTGAGTGTTGCTAAAATTAATATTAGAATTTTTAGTTGGACTACTTTATAATAGATTCAATCTTGCTTTTACTTACCTTCAATAATAACTATTTGTATCAAATTGAGTGAAGTGTGATAAGTCTGGACAGAGATGGAAAACTATTAATGTAGGTAATTGTAATAAATATAGAATAATTATATATTTTTTGTTCAGTACGAATCGAATTTTTAATTTTAGAATATTTGCGATCTTCATAAATCAACAAGCTGGGTACAAGTTTGTAACTAAATTTCTTATTTTTTTAAATTTTTTTTAACTCTGTTTTATTTAGCAATCAGAAATATATAAGAATTCCTATAAGCTAAATTGACAATATTTGGGAGAAGAACTCCAATGAGATCTTCTTAGTTTAACAATTGAACGATATGTTCAATATTTTATGATATATTGAAGCTAATAAATAAGCTAACTAAATCTAAAGGCCATTGACTTATTCTATTTAGAGAAAGTTTTATTTTGTAAACATCCCGAAAAAAAACTTGATGTTTACGCGAAAAAGTCCAATGTGCTAATTTTATGCTTTCTCGACGTTTCAAGTCATTCTGAATGAATCTGATAAACCCGTGAGTCCAAATTTGAGAAAAGTATGTGTTTTTTTGTATATCGAAGGACATCCAGGCTGGTCATGTCCGACTGAATACCGCCTTGGCATATAATAAGCGCCTAAAACCTCCGCTTTGCTCCCTTGCTTCTGGGCCCTACGGAAACCGCCGCTAGGCATTACTTCGAGGGGGGAGGATCTAGAATGTTATCATTAGAAAAGTATGTGTGTGTATGTGTGTAACAGCTGCTTCGATTACAAAAACTTAACAGCCATACGATGTAAGATTGGAGTTGGTAAGTCTTGCGCGACGATTGGCCAAGCCGTTTTTTTGTAGTTTGCAGAAAAGTTAAATGTAAAATTTGTTGTCCACGTTTTAGTCCACAATCTCGATTTTAAAAAATTACAAACTGTGAGAATCGCGTTGATTAATTTTTGGTAAATATCGGCCGAGCCTTTTCTTCGTAATTTAATGTTAAAATTTTTTGACAATAAATACGATATATTAACCGCCCGTAGGGTAAGTTATTGTAATGGGCCGAAAATCGAAATTGAAAATTTTTACATTTCTCGACGTTTTGAAGGTTTCTGAACATTTTGGTATACCTCATTGTCAGAAAAATGGATGTGTGTGTGTGTATATATGTATGGATACAAATTTCTAGTCACGTTTTCAGGCGCACGGATCAACCGAACTGAATGGTTCAAAAAACATTCGATTCCTATTGATATGGAGATGAGCTGATTAGTTTTTGGCAAAGGCAGGTCCAGCAGTTTCGGAGATAAAGAGCAAAGAGTGCAGAAAATAGAAATCGAGTTTTTGAGAGAACGGAGCATCCGATTTGAATGATCTGAAAAACATTCAATTAGTAATGATTGGGAAAAGTGTTTATTAGTTTTTGGCAAAGGCAGGCCCAGCCATTTCGAAGATACGGAGCTAAATGTGTAAAAAATGGCAGTTTTTGAGAGAACTAAGCGTCCGATTTAAATGATTCAAAAAACTTTCTGCTTGTTTTAACAAAATAATTGATTTTGGAAAAAAAAATTTGTTTCAATTTTTTTCTTTTTTGTCAAAAAAAAATTTTTTTGTATGTCAAAAATAATTCAGATTTTATTTTTAATTCTGACTATAGTTCTAATATACTATAAACAAATAATTTCAACTTCGCAATTCAGTTTATATAATTTTTATAAATATTAGACAATGTTACAATATTAATAATCCATTTTAAATAAAATTTCGTTACAAAACTAATACCGCCATCATTCGAATGATTACACAAAAATCCCGCTCGTAAAGGTTATAGCAAATGACAGCTGATGTTCACAAAGTGATATTCTGCAAAAACATGGCGCCGGTTAAGAAAAAGAATGCTCGATATAAAAATAAAATAATAGACTATAAATCATTAAAAATTAGTGATGTGTTGTGCCCAATATGTAGGTCGATAATCATAGAACCAGTATCGTTACCGTGCCATCATTTATTTTGCTTTAAATGTTTCAATTGTACGATTGAAAACAACAGTCTTTCTTGCCCTATCTGTCGTCTTAGAATTGGTTCATGGCTGAGATCAGCCTCAAAAACTGGAGGAATAGTTAATAGTGAATTGTGGGAATACATTAAAAGTAATTTTAAGGCAGAAGTTGAAGCTAAATTCAAGGGATGTGAACTGACGACGAGCAGTAGTAAGTTTTCAATGTCAAATACATTACACTTAAAAACATACTAGTTCTTTAAATTAAATTGTAGTATTTTTATTTATATGGCTCTCTTTAAAACGAAACTTAGAATGTTATATGGCGGTAGTTTACTGCATGATTTAATTCATAAACTATCACTACATTTTCATTTTACTTTCAGTGCAAGAATCATTAAAAAATTTGAGTTTTTTATTATGGTTTTTGTTTTAGTCGCATACCTGCTATTATGCATTATTAGGAATATAATAAATGAGCAAATATGGTTTGATAATGAAATGAATTATTAATGACACCTCCACTTTGTATTTTGATGAATAATCCTTTTTTTTTAAATGTATATATATAAAAACTATATATATTAAAAATGTATAAATATAATACACAATATATATATATATATGTATGTCTTGGATCTGTATGTATTGTCATGCTTCGAACAAGGAATCCAACAAGAATTCTTTGTTCCAGGAACAACAATATATATCTAGCTTCGAACAAAGAATCCAAAAAGTAATAAAAAACTAAATAAAATAAAGTACTTTGTTCGAAGCTCTCCAAATTATTTACAAATCCAAGACACTACCATCTAATATATATATATATATATATATATATATATATATATGTATATATGTGTATATATATATATATATATATATATATATATATTTATATCAAACGAAGAAAAGACAAAGATTTATAAAATAATCTTTAATTTCAAATGTTTCGACATACAATTTGATGTCATCATCAGTGGATCTATAAGGTACAAAATTTGAAAAAATTATATAAACTAGGTAACTATGGGAATTATAATTTATATATAGAAGCTATAAATAGAAAAAAAAAGAAATAACAAAACAAGCACAGTTATCAAACTAAAGAGAGATTTCAAATATTTTACCTTATAGATCCACTGAAGATGACATCAAATTGTATGTCAAAATGTTTCGAATTTAATATTAATTTATAAATTTTTGATTTTTCTTAGTTTGATGTATTGCCTCAAAGAACATACTCATATATCTCAACATCAAAATTAACCACTAAATCATATATATATATATATATATATATATATATATATATATGTATGTATGTATGTATGTATGTATATATATTAAAATTAGTGTGTTGAATCAGACAATATCACCAAAAAAACTAAAGCAATTAGGAAAACAGCTTTATTAATCCATGTATTTCAGTCTTCATTGAGACCTTCATTCAGTGGAAAACTAAAAAGTTTTTTTTATAATTAATTTAGAAAAGAAAATTGATACAACATATTGGACTTAAAGATTGGTACTCACAGACAAAAACAATTTAACACTACACTACACTAATTAACACAATTGTAAAATCCAAGCTATCAGTAGTTCAAACATTTAAAACTAATTATGAACTAGAGAACTATGAACTTAAAATACTAACTTTGTGTACATAGTTGTTGAAGTCTAAATTAGAATGTATTTACAAAAATTTTTAAAAAAATGTGCAAACTGGTAAAAACATATGGTTTCGGAAAGTAATATAAGGGGCACGCTTCATTCAGTAATAATATTGGTTGAAAAATGGTCGAGTAATATCTTGTAATCATTGCAGAACAGCTGTAAAGTCCTTTGTTGATAGCTTTATTGCTTAACGATATTAGACAACCATCACTAAATCTTCTTCTAAATATATTGATTTCTAATCTAATATGCTCGGGTTTAAGAAATCAATGTTGTGCTGAAGGTTATTTATGTGTTCTTTAAGCATTGTTTTATTTTGATTCTTATTTTTTGAATTATTTCTGTGTTGAGAGATTCTTTGGTGTAGATTTTGGCTAGTTTTGTCAATACAAAACCCTTGGCAATTTAGACAATTTTGACAATATATAGTCTTTATGTGAACACTAAAATAGACAAAACTAGAATATTGGGTTCAAAGCGATTTATTGTTTAAAACATGTATTAATCTTTAGTATTAAGTATCTTTCTGTATTGCCTCTTTTTTATGTATTGTGTCAATTTTATATGTCTCTCTATAATTTAATTTATTTTTATAAAAAATCTAGCTAATGAGCCTATAGAATTGAAGTTAGCTGCACCAGGAGAAATTAGAGAAGAATACCAGAAACAATTGTCTGTGCAGAAAGAGATTTATAGATTGGAAAGAGAAAAAGAAGATAAATTAAGCCAAGAATTACTGAAGTAAGCAAATTTGGATGAAATTTTGATGAAATCAATTATCAAACACTTGGTGCTTAGTCTAAACAAAATTAGATGATATTTGTAAATTACTATTTATATACTTACTAAATAATATTTTTTTTATGTTCAAAATGAGATTTTGGTTTAAAAGTTACTGATTCTATGTTTATTTACTGTGTTCTACTGAATTATAACAATTGATATTTCAGGAAGCTTCAGGAGCAAGAAGAGCTAAACAGAATTAAATATGAAGAAACTATTAAGAAAGATGAAGAAATTGCAAAAAGATTGGCCGATTCGTTATCAAATACATCTTTGCTTGCTAATAAATCCTCTAGTTCAAATGGTTCATCCCAAGAAACAAAAGTAATAAAATACCCACAGCCCCGACAGGCGCTCCCAACAAATATTATATACAATTATGACTATAACATTAAGAAAATTCAAAGCAATAATGTAGGAAAAAATTTTGGAACACAAGTAAATATATTTAATAAGTTGATTAATATATCTTACTCATGTTTAAATTATCTTTTATATTTATTTAAGGTGAATGCTGTAAATCCTCAAACAAGTTGTGAACAAAGCAAGCTTCCAACATCTGCATCGAAATATGATTGCTTAATTAAAAGCTTTTCAATGAAATTAGCACAAGGAAAAGATGTCATGAAGCAAGGTGAAATAATATTGACTGATGAATAGCTTTTAAATGGTTTTATTTTCATTTACAATTTATTATTGTATGTTTATATATTTTAGGTTCGCCAAAAACTCAACAACTTCATGCAATGTCTTTATTACAAGAACTTGGTCAAACTTATGATGATAATGATGAGTTTGCAAAAAAATATGATAGCATCACACAAGAACTGTGCCATTTCAAACCAATTAAAACTGCTCTCATAACCAAAAGAAGGTACATTTTTTAATTAATTATATTTCATATATAGTTATGTCAAGAATTTACCTAATTTCAATATACTAGATTGGTGAATGGAAAACCTGTTATCAATCCTTTGGCAATTAGTCCACCAAGAAGGCCTATACCTAGAACTCAGTAAGTTCAAGTTGATATGAAGATAGGAAACTGGTGTTTCATAAATTGTTAATATTTTTTTTTAAATCCTAGAATTTAATTGTATTATAAAAATTCTAATTGTTTCAGTCATATATATTCACAACAAATTTGTATAAAAAAATGGTTAGATATAGTTAACCTTACTCTTTCTTTTTAGTATTTTTTTTGGGTCTTTTCGATAATCAACTTTGCTTTCTTTCTTTAGAAATATTGTTTACTTTATAAAGCTGACAAAAAAATATTTTCAAGTATCACCAGCTTTTTCATATGTCTAGTATTTTAATTTTAATGGCTTATCAATATTGTTTCACTTTAGGAAACTTAGTATAAATGAAGTTACTACCTTTACTTTGAAGGGAACTAAAGTATTAAAATACTCAGGAGCAGGCTCAGCTTTTGCTGCTCATCCTACAATTTATTTCTGTAATAACTTAGTAATATCTGGATATGAAGAAAAAGGATCAAATAATTCAAATTTAATCAGAAGCAAAAAGAGATTATTTGATAATACTGATCAAAATAAAAATATCAAACAACCTAAAATACAGTCAGATGATGAGATAATTGAATTACCTGCAAATTCTGAAACAACTGAATCAGAATTAACTCTAAACTTTGTAAATACTCCCAAGAAAACTTATTCTAATATACGAGTAAAATATAACTCAAAATCTCCTAAAAAATCTAAATCTAGCGCCAAAGACTTATTTGGTATCAAACCTTTTGAACGTTTAACTAACATGAAATTTTCTGATGATTTCAAACCTCTTGGAACTTGTGAAGATTTTCAAGATACTGAAAATAGTAATGATGATGCATTTAATAAAAAATTGATTCAAGAGCAAAAAGACTTGGAATTTGCAAAAAAACTACAAGATTACCTCAACAAATGTGATAATGATGATAGACCATATACATTACGTAAGAATAACACCAAAAATAATTATTTGGTAAGTGATTATAAACGCGGTACAAGGACTAGTCCAAGAAAAAGACAAACTACACTTGATAGTATTTTTTTATCTACTCACAAGTAAATATATAGGATATAGGATAAGAATTAAAAATAGTATTATTTAATTATTTCTGGAAATCAGATTTATCTTAATATTAATTTGGTCTATAAGATCAAATTGGCAATAAAAGTTGACATACATTTTATGTATGCTATTATATCTGTCTGTATATAATATATTTATGATTTATATAAAAGTTTTTTTATAAAAAATGTGATCTGTAAAATACAAACAGAAAGATGTGACATATTTTAGCAATAGTACTTTAATGTAATATTTATGTTGTCCAACACAAATATTAAAAATAAATCTCTCAAGAAAATAAAAACTCTCATCTTTCTAATTTTATTATAAAATTTCAAGTTATTACTACTAAATTGGTTGAATAATTTTGAATATTTGATTTATACTATCAATTGCAATAATCACTTATTTTTTATGTTGAATATAAAATGCACACTAAAGTATTCTTTAGAAAATGACTCATATAATGTATTGCTAGAAAGAGATTTATTAATTTTAAATAAAAATCAAACCATTGTGGGAATTATTTAAAATTTTCACTTTTCTCATAAATAAGACATATGAAATGAAGTTTCTTTGTAATTAAATCTCAAATACTTTTCTTTAGATTGCTCTTTTTCATAATAGATGTTTGAGAATCAATTCTAACAGAACGTCTGCTTATTACGCTGGATCTACTTTTTCTAGCACCTAGAATAATAAAATAAAAATGTTAGTTTAGTCGATTGATTGTTTAGTAAACATGTGTTGTTAAAGCTCGAACCCTGGTTGATAAGAATAACACTTTCAAGTTTTAATTAAAAAAATAGAAAACTTGGATAAGATTGAAGAACATATGATTATTTTTTATATTAAAGCTGTGCATACAATAAGGAGCAATGTTAAATGTTTTAGTCTAAAAAGGAGAAGCAATCGCAAGTAGCAACAATATTTTGGATGACAATAGCCTGAAACATGAAGATTGATAGTAATAGTAAAGTGAGTTTATAATATATTAGTGATTTTATAATCTATATAATTTAGGAGTAAAAATGCAGGATTAGTCTGAGGAGGAGATAATGAGAAAATATGAGTTAAGAAAGTTGAAGAGACAGCACGCTATAAGTTCCATGCATATAGTAATAATACTAGGTTTGGCAACATCATTAATATAATAAAACTTTTCCATAGAATACTAACTAAGTAAGTTTAGAAGGCTGTTAATTGCTATGAAGACTTATATTCAATCAAACCTGAAGAATATCAGCAAAGCCAATAATTCATTCTTACAACATAATTATGTTGTAAATTTAATGTTGGCTTAGATATAATTGCGCATAACATCAATGAAAAACATGGCAAAAATTAAACGTTAAGAAATGTAGAAGTCTCAAAGTGCAGGAGCGGGCGTATGATGCGAAAAATCGTATTAAGCATGATCGTTTTAACCAGGTTCTGCTGTATACATGAAGTAATTACCTGCTATAGATTCTGCTGATTGTGGTAAGGAACGGTGGCTTTTAGCTGATGCGTATTTACTTTGCTCCAAATCTGTAAATATATGTAACGTTTTCAATTTCCATCTATCATTAGAATTCTAATATAATACTTTAAAGTATAATTTTAGAAGGTATAATTTATTAGTCTTTTTATATTTTTAAAATTAATACAATTATTTAATTATAACTAATAATTAATTTTAGGAAAATTACTAACCATTTTTTACTTTTTATAAACATAATGTATATATAAATATGTAAATAGAATTTCGCATTTTGATTTTTTTAAATGTTTTATAAGTTTGTAAGAAAAAATGGTTAGTTAATTTTCTTCAAATTAATCAAGTTATAATTAAATAATTGTATTGATTTTAAGAAGATAAAAAGACTAATAAACTTAAACCACATTAAGGTAAGATCCTTACCTAAAGTTACGATATTTGGAGAAGAAGGTGTATGAACAATTCCTTGTACTGAACGACATACTGAACTTGCTGCGCTACTTTTCCGTGAATCCCGACGACTATCTTGTGACCGACTTGATATAGATATATCTAAAGTAATAAAATTTCATATTTTTTGATCTGTATATATTTATCCTAACTAATTTTATTTACCACTTGCAGAATCTCCCAAATCGTGGGTGGTGTAAATTGTAGACACGCTGCTGCATACTGATACCGTATCTCTACTCCTTTCAGTGAAACTGGAAACACATGTAAGTAATATAAGGAATTCTTAAACATAAATTATTATATCATGCAATGTTTGAAAGGTTGAAGTTCTGAAGTAAGGTATTATTGAGTTATTGAAATCCCTAACAAATCCAATCGATTGTTGTCACTGGTTTCTGAGATACCATCTATATATACTATGGCAATAAAGCCAATAAACCCATTTTTGAAGATTATTTTTAAATTTTTATGTGTAAAAATATAATATCATTGGATATAGATTTTAGTATTGGTATATTGTTTTCAAGAAAACACATCATATCGAAAGTTTAAAAAGGACTTTCAGAAACTTTCAAAGGTAATAATTATTAAAATCTTTAAAGATTTCTGATATGTCCTATATTGCCTTGAAGATGTATATTATAAGTTGTGAGTATTATCCGTAAAGAAAATGATAATTATCCAACCTGGTTTTTCTTCGCAGTCTAAGTTTAATTTCATCCGAGCTTGGCAAAGAAATATTTTTTTCTTCACAAATTTTTGTAACTTGTTCAGACAATTCAGGATGGGTCTCGAATGAAGAATGTGACATTTGAGACAATTGAGTCATGGCACTTTGATTTTGTTCCTTTAGTTCTCTAGTCAGTATATCTATCTAAAAATATATACATCATGATAAAAAATTCTTGTAGCATTTTCGATATTTTTTTTTCAAATTAACTGACTTCATATACTCGGAGCATATCAGGATTTGTAACACGCTGCCTAGCTTCCTTCAGATTTCGTTTCAGAGAATCATCAGCTCTCGTCATTTTATTTTTCTGTTCTGTTATTTCTTTATTCAAATTTGATAGCATGTCTAATTTGTCTTGTCTGAAGTGTAAAATTTAATTAATTATATTTGTTTATTAAATTCATCACACAAATAGTTTTACCTTAGATTTTTTGCTTCGGTTTGGCGGTTCTGTAATTCACGCATTTCTTCTCCCATTTGCTGAGCTAAAAGTTCTTTATCTTCTAGTATTCTTTTAGCATTGCTTAATTGTTGTTGTAGCTGGTAATATTTAGCTTCATAATGACGCAATTCCACCACTTCTTCGCCTATAAAAAAATTATTGATTAAATAGTCACATTATCATAGAGCTACTACAAAAAATCGTTGATTTGTATAATATGGAACTTAAAATATTCAACGAGCAAGAAAATCTTGTAATTTTTTATCGAAAGTTTTTATCGCAAAATATGAGAGGCAATTGCGAACAAACATCAAATATTAGTTTTGTCACGTTTGCTGGGGCCGATATATTATATTTTAAAGCATCCATATCTTGGTATTGTTTAATCTATCCTGTACAAAAAAATCTAGCAATTCAGGTTATTTTAAAACCCATCGATATGTTCCGAAAAAAAATCTTATTTAAAATGTAATAAAAAAAATCGAGATAGTCAATCCACGGTAGATGTTGTTTTTTTAGTAAAAAGTAGTATGGAGCCAATGAATAATCTATATACCTCCGTCTTCCACATTTTCTAAAGATCTTTTGTATGCTTTATTACTCGCATGCAAAACTTTTAATGTATTTTCCAATGATGCAATATCTCGTTGGGCTCTTCGAACAGTTGCATCCAAACGATCACCTTCTTGTTGCAAAATGAACTTTTCTTGGGCATCCTAAATAAAGTTTTAATTTATTGATATTTTATTGATTTGTGTTTATGACAGACAACTATGACGTTGTTTTTGAGAAAGCATATAAAAATTACCCTGATTTTTAATTGCGTGACGGTAAGATTGGTTCCATCTTCAGCCGTTCCTAATTGTGATGTTACCAAAGAGTGTCTGTAATTAAAGGTAAATTTTATTTTTTAGTCTAAATTTTCTAAGATTTTGTTAAGTTCATTTTGATCAATATCATTTCTAGATGTAAATGATAAAATTGACCATATTCTCAGATATAAGTGTTGATATTAGAGTATGGATTTGATAATAGCTTAAAATTTGTCAGTTATGTGAGAGATATTTGTCAGAAGATGTGAGTTAATTGTTCATACTTTGATTGTAAAGTTCTTATACGAGTGTCTCTTTCGGCAATATCCTGTCTTAACCGGGATTTTTCTTCTAGTAACGCTCTCTTTTTCGCAGTGAGCATATCTGTTTGGACTTCAACTTCCACAGCCCTTTCCTTCATTGCCTATAACAAATTGAACCAAATTTATAAATATTAAATTATAAAACTATCTTCCAAATATCATACTGAATCATCCTACTTACTGCTTCCATTTCTATTCTGTGTTTTTCTAGTGTGTAAATATTTTCACCTTCCATGGCTAGAGCTTTCTCCACATGAGCGACTTTTAATCGGAGAACATTTTCTTCAACTTGCCGCTCAGGTATGACACTCTTTAATTTTTTTAGCAATCTTTTCCCTGATTCAAAGTACAATCGTTTATCGGCCATTGTTACTTGCTAAATAGTGAAATATAAAATGTATTGCATACTATCAAAAATGGTTTTTCATTTGGAAGACATCAATTTTATTTACCAATTTTCCTAATTCTTTGTTATCTACTTCCATAAGCCTTCCAAGTCGTCTCATTTCATTTTCAATTTGTGCTATTTGTGTTTCCATGTTTTTTAAAATTTCTGAGCGATCTGCTAGGGTTGATTCTAGTTCTTTAATTTTTTCCAACTAAAGAAGTATTTTGAGTTAATTTAGATTTTTTATAAATCAAATTAACACTTATTTTTATTAAAAATAACTCACAATTTCATAATTTTCATCTGGATCATCATGCTCGCCACTTTTCTTTGATATTCTTGATTCCAAACTTTCAATTTGAAAATCCTATAATTTAATAAAGTACTTTTATATGGTACGACAACATAATCAATCAGCTAAAATAAGCAATTTATCATAAAGAAAAGGCAACTTACGAGTGCGTAAAGTTCTTCCTTAGATTTCTGCCGTTCTTGTTCTGCTTTGATAATAATTTTTTTTATCATTCCATAAGTATTTTCAAGGGAAGCGATTTCTGACCTAATATTCTTCTCCTCATCTTTCAATTGTTGCAGTAAAGGATTTTGCCTATAACATAGTTGTTGCAATCGTTCTATTTCAGTTTCTTGTTTTTGAATTTGCTTTTCTTCATTCTTTAAAAAATGCCAATTGTGAATAAAAAGTGAAATGAATCGTTCAATAATGCTATTAATTTGAAACCTGCAATAAATCTTCAAGTTGCCTTGCTCTATCTGTTGCGTTAGAACATCTATCAACTACTTCCTGAAGCTTAGACTTCCATTCTTCTATAGTATCATTCCATTCGGATATTTTTTGACGTTTTTCTTCTACAGATTTTACAGCAGATGCCATTTCTTGACGTTTTTGAGTTAATTTTGTAGACAGTGTAGATAAAATGCTTTTAGCACTTGGTATCTGTGATTTATTGTTTTGTTATAAAAGCATATAATTTGTTGATCAATAAGTAGTTCTTAACTTACATCACTAGCTCTTGTTTCTAATGTTTTCATCAAATTTGTTAATTGGTCCCTAAATCTTTGATTTTGAACTTGAGAACTAGCAATTTTTGTATGTAGCTCACGGTTATTGGATTGCATATTTTTTACCATCAACTCTGCTTCTTCTATTTCACTAGACCTTTGTTGCTCTTGTTTTACCAACAATTCTATATCCTATTATATAAATATTTGTAGTAATTTATTACACTAAATTGTAGTATACTTGTAATGTAATAAATAATTAGAATTTACTTACTTTTGAAATATTTTCTATCTGCTTATCTCTATTTTGAAGTTGGTTTACACTTTCCGTCCACTGCGCTACCAGTTTCTGTCTTTCAATATGACCATTCCGATACATTTGGCCAACCTTTTCCAAGCTTTGTTCAGCAATTTGTACCTCACCTATTTAATAACGCCATTTGCTGTTTTTCAATCGTATTTTAGAAATAGTATTCAATATCTATTTTTTATATGGAAAACCTGATTTTGTAACTGCTTCTTTGCGTAACTTGTCTACTTCCAACCGCAGTTTGGCGCGCTGGTTGTCCATTTCCTATTTGATACTTTAGTATTAGTAGTACTGAAATATTAAGAATAAAAATATAATTTACAAAATATTTAACCTTGAATTTAGCTGCATCTTGAAATGAATATGTTTGAATAAGTGTGTTAGTTTCCTCGCCTCGAGCCAAGAACTCCTCCCAATCTTTCAAGGCATCTTTGTTCCAAGATACGCTTTCCTTAAGTGTTTCCAAACGCTTTGCAACTCTAACCAGATCATCTGGAAACAGTTAAATGATTGCAGATTTGTTAAAAATTATATTTTTTTTTCAAACTTACTTTGCATCCGAGAGTTTAGTTCTTCGGTATCATTTTTCTGCTTTTCTGATTTCCTTATATCTGCTCTCAGTCTACATTCATCAGCCTCGCAATATTTGTACAATCCTTGTTCGGCTATAAGTTGTTCTTTGTGTGCAGTAAGTAATTTCTTAAAAATGAAAAGTAACAAATCAACAAAAGTATATTTTACGAGGGAATAAATAGGAAATACAATGTATTTCTATTCCTTCTCCTTAGATTCAAATTTTAGGTGCGCCTGAAAGAGTAATGGAATTATCCAATGATAAAAGTGTAAGGAAGATAAGACGGCTCTCTATCTAGAAATCAGCTTTTAGTTTTACGTTTAGCTGCCATTTTTCATTACTAAGTGTAACATATGTGCTACGCATATCAATTTTGGACAGTTTGGGTACCTGCTCATAATATGTTATGTTCTGATAAAATGAAGAAAGAAGAAAGTGGTCCAATGGTGGACGACTTATAGAATGTGTTCGCCGGCAGTTTTTTTTAAGAAGATCTAAGAATTTATTCAAATTATTATTTGAATATTATTAAATAATTACTTGTACTTCCGTTTGCCTAGCCTTGGTACGCGAAAGATGCTTCTCTAATTCTGCCAGACGTTCTCCGGCTTTCGCCGATTTGGTAGCAGCAGCGACTTTGGCAGCATTTGCTTTAACCAACTTTTCCTCCAATTCTCTGTTGGCAGCATCTGCGGCAGGAATGCGAGTACCATCACCCCAGCCCAACTTGCCGAGGATTTCGGTTATGTGATCATCCATTTTCAACATTTTGGATAAATTATTTTCAACTTCCGCGGAGCTAATAAATGAACTGAAACCAATGAGGTGAGTTGTGATTAGAGAATTAATAATATTAGAATAAATAAATATTAAAATTACGTGTAAGTGTCTTTTTGTCTTAAGACAAGTAGCATAAACTTTCTGACACGAATAAATATAGTCTTCAACTCTAACTTAATTCATGAAATTTGAGATTGACGGACCATTAAAATTACTACGACGCTAATAACTACGAGTCTTTAAATATTTTCATCAAATTATTTTCAATTTTTATTTTAATTTCAAATGCTTCGAATTGGTGCAGTTGTTTAAAAAAAAAGACTCGTTGAAAGTTTAAATTTTGGCACACATGCACCCACAGATTTTGGTATCAAACGATTCAGAATGACTTGAAAATCCGAAAAAACATAAAATTAACAAATCGATTTTTCTGCAAAAGTATAAACTTCTTCTTCGGAAAATTATTAAAAATTATATCTTATTGTTAAAATACCACGCTCAGAATGCAATCTTATATAAAAAATATAGCAAAATAATATAGATTCATTTAAATCGCAATTTTAGAGTTATGAATTTTCAAATGAAATCGAATTATTATTGATGATATTTTGTATAAAATAATAATTTAATTAAAATATTAAAAAATTTATTAATAACTCACCTTAGATAGAATTTCCATAACTTCGACTCATAAAACGTATGGCATCAATTCCATATATTCTATAATTTATGTCAACAGCAATACTTATAATTCATCAATATAAAAATAGTAAAAAAAATATATCGTAGTAAACTTTTTAATAAAGCTCATGTCAGTGCGCTGACTAGCTGTTGTTTAGTAGCGTCATTCATATCCATAGAAACGTTCGATTTGCCACCATTCAAATAGGGCTGATTCAATTAAAGCAAGTGAGAGCGAACATTCACTTAGATTTGATCAATAATATTTTTGGAAATAAATTATTTGACTTTTTCCAATTAATTTTTTGTAAAATATATTTAGGTTTTGCACGAATTTTAATAACCTAGGAATAGCTATTCTAACCGATTTTATTATAGCATTACTTATAGCCGCTTTTTTAATGGTAAATGTACAGTTCATGAATTTATATATTTTGCATTTTGAACTGTTAATTGATGATGATTGAAATATTTGCCTAATTGCTCAAAATTCAATAATTTGTAATATTTTGAAACATCAAAACGAATTGTAATCATTTGTAATTTGTAATTTATTTAACGCCATATAAAAAAGGTTGATCTGAATTTATAATTATTTCTAACATTCAGAAAAAGTTTATTTTAAACAGAAAATCCAATTTGCTAATTTCGCGTTTTCTGACCGTTTCAAGCTAATTTGATTCATTTGAGACCGAAATTGGAAAAAAAATATGTCTACGTGTATGTGAGCCAACTTTGACCTTTCGTCGACTTTTTCTTAAACACGGTTTCACCGAATTCAAAAAGCCATGTGATCGAACTCGATATCGGTGTTTAAAAAAATTGATGGTTAAATTTCCGATAATTAGTTTTTGGTGAAGATTGCGCGAGGCATTTTGCGTAATTTATTGTTGATATTTTCTATGTAACTTTGTGTTTTTTATTCTAAAAAACATCTTGAATTTATATAGATCTCGAATATATGTTAGAAATTTAGAAAAAGATATCAAAGTTTCGAATTTAGTTACCTTTTTATGAGATGCTAAACCTTAATTGTTATTGAATCGATTATTTTAGATTACTGATGCTCCGTGGTTCGTAAGCAATAAGACCTTACACGACGATTTTCATATTGAATTTATAAACAGAGTTATACAAATCAACAGTGTCAAACATTTTCATAAACTAGAACATCATACAAACTCTATAGACACTCAGCTTCTTGAGACACCAATTAATTGGTTGAAATTTCAAGGAGAATGAAGAAGAAGCTGCCCAAAGATAATATTGAGCACCCTTAGAACTACCACAACTTTATACGACAGAATAGTAGAATCACTTATTGAAGTGATTCTCTATCAATTTAATATTTATCAGATTAATTTTTATGTGTGTTTGAAAGCGTGTATATATGTGTGTGAGTGAATAACATTAACTTAAGGCAAAATGCCACTTACACCTAGTTTGATTTTCCTTGAGAAGAAAGTTTGTCAATAAGAATATTGCAACGCTTTGCCACGTCGAATCTATTGTACCTTGGATTTGGTCTGATTCTGTGCACTGCATCTAATATCCAAATCTGATCTAAAAATAATCATCCGATGTAATAATTACGCAAATGTACTAAACTATAATCATAAATTAATCAATTAATATGAATTAATTTTGACTAAAAGCAAATTATGGCTATTATATCATTGACGGTACTGATGAAGAATAACTAGACACTTATTATATATATTTAAAGTTATAGTATTTTCAGATAATTACCATTTTGAAATTAAAATTTCAATAATTATACATATATATAACTGTAGTCAAGTACATTTTATCTCAATCACAAAAAATACTCTAATGTTTTATTGATTTTATTTTATGAAGAAGTCAAAATTATTTAAATAAAATGCCTCTATTTGCTTTCTTGTTATTGACACCTGTTTGAATCAATTTGCTAGGGCAGGATCAAATTTCAGTTCATTTTTATATATCTTAGAATGGAATTCAAGATATAATAAAAATATTGTTTATATTAATAAAAAATATATGAACATATATTATTTGCCAAATATGATTGATGAACAGCATGGGGCAAGAGTATCTTTTATAAGTTAGTACTTTTTTCGCCTATATGAGCTGCGTTTCGATTTATGAATACTTGAAGGCATGTATCAATGTTAATAACATATGTTTATTTTAAATATGTTACATTAGGTTTTTTGGATAAGGAACTTTCAAAAATACAGAACCAAAGTCCTTTGCCGATTCATCTTACACGTATATACCGCGCGTTTCAAATAGCATATTTTATAAATAGAAAATTTTCATCTCATAGCTCTGACTTCAATTTAAACGCATAAACACAACTTGAAAATTCTAAATCAGTACAACTTGATGTTCTGTGGTATCAAATGTGTGCCTTTAAATACTTAATTATAAAGAAATATTTTTTAGAGGCTCCAAATAAAGTCAATAATAAGTAGCAAACTTATAGTGTCTATGAAAATAAGTTTCTAATAGTTTTGGAGTTGTTCGAGCTATTTTATGTGATATCTTTATGAAATACATGAAAATGTGTTGCTAACATGTGACAGTCTTTCATGAATAATAATTAAATTTATGTTACATTTTACGTAATATCATGTTACAAATCATAAGTTAAGATCATACTCAAAATTAGCATCAATATGTCATCATTTTGTGCAAAACGAATCTATAAATCAAGAAGAGATTGGTTTAAAATATGGTTTAATCATAAAACTATATCATAACATTTTGTGAAAACTTCAAATTTAATCCATTGTTAGTTACTAGCTAAATAATTATCAGTTTTTAAATAAATATTCATATTGCGTATCTAACATTAAAAATGTGTAAAATTCCTTGTCCACTTTGTTGCGAAAAGTCGTTCATTAATGCAGAAATTCTTCGAGTAGCATTAGTAGAAGTTACCACTAAACCTTTACAATGTCCATTGTGTAATGCAATTTGTTTGGGTCTGGACAAACTGACCATCCATTTATTTACTCATTGTGTACTAGGTAAGCTGTATAAATTAATTAAATTTGTGAAAACATGTTAACGAAACCACTTTTTATTTAGGTAACAAAACCGATCGAGAATACAAAAATTTGCCGGAATATACCAAAAATGTACTTAGCATATCTGAATCGATACCAAACAATACCCAAACTAATAACTCTCAAATTAATCATAATCTTTCAATTTCCTTTGATCAGAATAGTGAACAGTTTGAAGTTGACAATGGCAACCAATTTCTAGCCGATGGTGAAAATCAAGCAAATGTCCAAGCAATTAACCAAAATCAACAAAACAATAATTGCACAGTAGTAAACAAGCAACAAATGACTTTTTTGGAAAGTCAAAACTGTCAGCAAAGGGTTATGCAGCCAAGCTTAATAACTCTTCCAATGAATGTATCAATGCAAGTTGGAGCTACTGTAACCCAAAAGGATAATATGTTAGAAATTGATACAAATATAGGAAATAATCAAGATATGGTGAATAATAAGATAACAAATCAAACGCAACAAATATCCCCTAAATTTCAATTAAGACCTTCGCCTTTAGAAACTGTAGTTACCAGGTTGACGAATGGGGTAATGTTATAATAAATAATGCAATTTAAACATTCTGAAACATCTAAAGCAATATGTGAAACTAATTTAATATCAGTAATAAATATTTTAAATTAATATCTTATTTGAATTTATAGCAAACTGTGCTTGTGCCAAATAAAAACAAACGAAATGCTGATGGAGCCAATATGGATGCTGACGGTTCCGGAAATCAGTTTTCTATCGCAAATAGTTCCAAAACCTTGTATGTATATCAATTTTTACTGTATTTTATATTGTATTGTAATTTCATAATTAAATGTATCGTATGTCTTTCAGGTGTGATTTATGTGGATTTCATTTCGATTCTGTAGAACTTCTAGCAATGCACGCTTTCATAGCGCATGAAAACAATAGTTCTTTAACAAGAATGGAACTTCACGCCTGTGGTTTGTGTGAGAAAACTTTCAGGTAAATACATAAGTGTTATTAAATTGTTGATTCACGTATATATTTTCGTAACCTATAAGCATTAAAAACAGCACAGGCAATAAAGTTGTCAACGAAGATTTTTTTCTTAATTTATAAACACTACTTGTCATTGCAACATACAACAACTTGAAAAATTTTATGTTGACAAATCTAACAAATAAAAACTTTTGCATCAAAATGTATTGAAAATGATTTTATTGAAGGCGACTATAAGTCATAAGTTAATAAAGAATTAATAATAATTCTTAAAAATTAATTAATAATTAATCATAGGTCAATTCATTGTCAACCATACAGATATAAGGTTGTAAGGTTGACATTAACAAGTATGCCTTGAGGCAAGTTGTAAATATTTCACATACTTAATCAATAAGAATTGAAATTTAGCAAATTGAAGAAGAGCTTTTGCGTTCAATTAAAAACTGATCAATTAAACTATAATGAATTTTATTATCATTTTTCGTAGGCCTAAAATATTTAAGATATGTGTTAAGGTAATGAACTTTACCAGCATACAAAGCTTTATCAAAATTGGCAGAATGTTTAAGAATTAATTACAAAGAAATGGCTCCGCTAATCTTTACCAAAAATTAACCAATACTATTCTCTATTGATATTCCGACGGCTTTTAAGTTTTCAAAATTGGCAGGATTTTTAGCAAAGACATGAATAATCATGGAAATGTTGCACTTTTTCGTTAAGGCAATGAACCTTATCATCATACAACGCTTTATCAAAATTGGCAGAAGAATCAATTACAAAGAAATGGCTCTGCCAATCTTTACCAGAAATTAACCACTACGATTCTCTACTGATATCCCGACGCGACGGCTTTTAAGTTTTCAAAATTGGCAGGATTGTGCAAAATGTTGCACTTTTTACTAATTATAAAGAAACGGCTTGACCCATCGGCCCACATAACTAATCAAAGCGAGTCCTTATTTCTCTTTCGGAAAGTTAAGTTTTACATTGAATTATCGTAATAAAAATAAGATCTATAACTTTATTACAAAATAAATTAAAAAAAAGTATTATCGAAACCAGATTTCATCGAAAAACGAATAATTACTTACTTAAGTAAGTTTTTTTAAATATGTAATTATTTAATGAGCAAATTGCATTTTTTTTAACAGTAATCAGAACCTTACGTCCTATGAGCTGTTGGGCTGAAACTTCTCCTTACTTCGTATTTTTTAGATGGTAACCCAATGGTTAATCTATCCATATTTGATGATTTTGTTATTAGAATTATTCTAATAGGGCTGACATTTTATTGGTGTTGCAATGCCGGGTGAGGGCTATTTTCACTTGGAAACATATTGCTATCTATATTTCCAAGTGAAAACCGTTGTCACTGCTGCCTGACAACAGGCTGCTCGAAGTGGGTATCGAACCCGGGACCACTGACTCGGGTCCCGTCGCTCTTAACCGCTTACTTACGGGCAAGCCCTAAATTGCAAATTGATTTCATTTTTCTTTCTAGGATGCCTGCAGCTTTACTTCTCCACCGATCAGTCATACATGATATAACTGCAGCAAATCAATCAAAAATTAACTCCAGTTCAGAAAAGCAAGTACCTCTCAATTCAACAGTTGTAATTACGGCACCATTCAGTCAAGGCAACGATCAAAAACTTTGGAATTGTGATATTTGCTCGAAAAGTTTTACCACTAAATATTTTTTAAAGAAACATAAAAGATTGCACACAGGTAAAAGATACAATTACAGGTAAAACAGTCGATTTGTTATAAAATAAATGAAGTTTCTTATTAGTAATAAATATAAAATACTAGTAGATTTCGTGTTTTTATCAGTTTAACAAGCAACATTTGTTTCGTATTATTATTTTTAACGTGTTCCTCGTTTAACATTATTATTCAATAATAAATTATAAAATTCGATATTTTGCTGAGTGTTTATATAAATCAATTATACTACGCTCCAATGTTTATGGTATGTTATCAATATAAAACGCGAAAGCTCCTATTCATCATATTCGCTTTTTTTAAAATGTTATTGTTCTGCGATTCGTTTATAAAAACAATGAGCAGAGATAAGATTGCGAACAATATGAAATATAAACAATATTTGTGAACAATATAATATGAAATTGAAAACATCTTGATTAGATATCAGTTGATACGACAAACGGAGGATGTTATTCACATTATTCACATTTGTTATAACTAATAAATAATATATATATTATTCGATAACAAAAAAATAATTATAGGTTGCACTGGCATGTTGAAGAATAATATATCCAAGTTTTCTTTGAATTATATATCAAGATATGTTTAACTTATATTATTTTCATTGCTTGCATGAATATTTCTGCTCATAAATAAATTTTGAAATTGCATAGCGTTCAAAACGATTTTTATAATTATTATCTTCTCAATGAATTTGGCAATATAATTATCGAGCCTAATAGGGGATTTTAAAAGAATGATTAGGTATCAAATATTTTTTATATTTATAGGTGAGATGCCATACAGTTGTACAAAATGCAACAAAACTTTTACATTCCAACAATCGTATCATAAACATCTACTTTATCACAACGATGAAAAACCACATGCCTGTTCACATTGCGGAAGAACTTTTAAGGAATTGTCAACATTGCACAACCATCAAAGGATCCATACTGGCGAAAAACCATTCGCATGCGAAACTTGCGGTAAGGATAAAAAAAAATTATTATAAAATTTCTTTCTTAGACAATAATTATTTAAGTAATTTATCAAAAGTGCCAAAAAGTCAAAAACTCTTAAAATATATAATGAGATAATATTCTAAATATGTAATACTTCAGAAAGTATGAAAAAATTCATATGTTACGAAAAAATGCTAATAAAGTGTAATAATTCACAATTATATTTGGTTTTATCAAAGACATATTTTTTTCATATGCCGCAATTATTTATATATTTATTTCTTACTACTGGGTATTGGAAACTTTTTTATTATCGCTTGTCTGTTGTATTGATACAGAAGAATAGGCAAAATATTAATTTGAATTCTTTCTAAAATTTGACTTCTATTTATGTATGACTTTTATTTAAGTATGTTTTTACCAATATTTCTATTAATAATATATATTTTTTAGGAAAAGCATTTCGTCAGAGAGTATCTTATCTGGTTCACAGACGAATTCATACAGGAGCCATGCCGTATAAATGTACAGCTTGCAACAGGAGCTTCAGATATAAGGTAATAATATCAAGTATCTTTTTAGCATTTCAGTTAATTATATTTTGTATTACAATCTTGTAAACCTTATGCAAAAAAAAATATTTTTCAACAAAGTTTTTGCAAGCTTTCGAGAATAATCACTGATTTCAGTAAAAGTCTATTGCAAACATCTAGAAGTACACTCTGGCATTTTTGGAGTCTATGACTTGTATTACTGAAGCTGCCTTATATATGAACATTATAATAATTTCCTCATTAAACATTAAAAATTTTCTTTCTCGAAAACAATATTTGAAAAAATAGTAAAATGCATCGGTAAAGGATATGCAAATATTTTAAATATATGTTTTTCATCAGTTCACGAATATTTATAATATTCATATTATAATTTCTTTTGTCTGCTATCTATTCTATTTTTTCGTTACCATTATAAGCAACAATTCAATTGGTAACTAAAAATAAACTTATATAAGGATATAAGTGTAGTATTTATTAAATTTTACTATATACTTCAAATTTAAAAAAATAATACCGACGTATATTTAATACTTCATTTTTTCCTTCGTTTCTGCGTTTCGTAGGGACAACAAAAGAGGCGTGTCGACCCGGGCGCTAACCGGGTCGACTTCCTCGAGTCTCGAAGAAACTAAGACAGTTTAGTGGAATTTTAAAACTCGTGCTTGGGTTTTTCATAAATTTTTGTGATAATTCTCAAATCGTCATAATATTGTTAACAGAGAGGAGCTTTTACATAATCGTTGTCTACCGAATACCTGGGGGCCGTTCAAGTATTACGTAAGCACTATAGGGGGGCGGAGGGTATTATTTGCTTATTTTGCTTATTTTTGGTAAGAACTTTGCTTACTTTTGCTGACAAAGGGGAGGGGGGTGAATAATTGTAATAAATCTGCTTACGTAATACTGGTGCCTACCAAATGCCACAATGAAATAATTAGTTTATTATTGCAATTTAATTTTTGTACTTTATATTTTAATCAAACCAATTTCCTATAGTAAAATATAAAAAACATTACAAGCACGCAATGTTTTTTTAATAGTTTTGAATGGATTTTTTTTATAAGCAAAAATATATATCATATTTTATCCTTATTAGAAAATATTATAATCGCAATGTTCTGAAACAAATCAACAATCAATGACGTATTTCACTCTAATAACGGTAGTAGAAAAACATAGAAATACTATTAATACTAACAACTGCTTCTGGTGAATTAATTGATCATTTAAACAATAAATTTCCTTTTACAGGTGTCACAAAGAACTCATAAATGCGCTGCTCAAATTGCAAGTAATCTTGCACGCAAGCAAGATGATCTCATTCAAAAATTATTGTCTGATGAGTCGAGCGCACAAGGCACAGCCCAACAATTGCCACCAGAACCAAGTCCCGTCTCTGAAATTCAAAACCAACTTGTAAATAATGCAATTGATCCTCCTGAAATAACAAATATTGATCATATAGTTGCAGAGTCATATGACAGTATGCTCTTGCAAACAGAAGATGTTTGTCCAAACTATACTGTTACTTTTCAAGAAGATAGTCCTGAACCAAAAAATCAAGCATATGAGGATGTTGATGTTTTGACACTGTATGAATGCTCTGATAGTTTAGAAACCATTAATGAAGACGCTTTAAAGAATCTCTTGCATCAGGGGTAAGACACAGGAACAATTATTTGGATAATTTTATTTTTATACTATCAAATATTTAAATTACTAATGTTAATTTATTTAAATTATTTATTTATTTTTATATAAACAATATAAAATCAAGCAATTAGTAGATAATTATTAAAAAAAATCAAAACTGAGTAATTAACACCAAATTAAACTTTATTCATAGTTGGTGTTCACATCATAATTTGTCTTCTATTAAAGTTTTATATTATATTTTTGTTTTTATATGTTTGTTAATTATATTCAATAATTGTTTATATCGTGCTTAAGTTAAATTATTTATACATATGTGCCGCACAAATGTGAGTCAAATCAATGCTCCAAACATATACTAGATAAATTGAATGTTTAAATTATCTTTGGGTTAATTTGATTGTATGCTAGATAAATTAAATTTTTAAATCATCTTTGGTTTATTTGAATGCATGCTAGATAAATTAAATTTTCAACTCATATTTAGTTTATTTGATTGTATGAATGTCTTAAAAGCCTATATGTGTGTTTGCCTTTAATGCACTAATTTAGCAGCCAAAACGTCGAAATAAAATATAAATTGAGATCTTATGTTTCTAAAATGTCACATCCTTAAGCTAAAAAATATACAAAAGTAAGGATTATAATACAACAATACTAAATAATATTTTTTACGCCAACCAACAAAAAAATTACCAAACAAATAATTCAGAAACACAAACTAATATTTTAAACCAAAAGATATACAATTTTAGGCTAAAAAACACTTCAGAATAAACTATATATAGTCCAGTCATTATAGTAAGTTCACCTCGGAATTTGAGAGAAACCCAGCTGTAAGTCTGTAAATACTTGTATATTGATACCTAAAAGTTGTCTCAAAACCTACATATGTTGCGTACACCCTACCATATGTAGGTTTTGAGACAACGTTTAGGTGCCAATATACAAGTATTTACAGACTTACAGCTGGGTATCTCGAATTCCGAAATTCTTACCTAATTAAAAGCTTAAATCACTGAACTAATAGTTATTTACTATGTACTATTTTAAAAGTGCAGCACTGAATTGAATTTTGAAACAAAAACAATATGTAAATATGATTGTAAGAAATCAGGAATTAAGGAAACAATTCAGTCTTACATATATTTAATAAATTTTGCTATCGTAAAATAAAAAAAGGTTATGTTTGTTTGCACTAGTAGAAACTAAAAAGATGAAAACAGATCATCACTATTTTATCTATAACTTTCTTACCATGTTGCAAGTTTTTCAAGGTCCACATTTTTTCTTTATAAAAATTGGGCAGATGAATATGGTATAAAAGTGTGTTTAAAGAAAGAAATGTGTTCAGAATACATTGTTTTAAATTGTTATGCATAAATAATTCAATAAGATACCTTGATAAATTAAAAAATCGAAAGCAATACATTAAAGATTATTCATTTTATATATTAATGTATGTACATCAGATATTATTCGAATAAGTTTCTTGTTTTATATTTTAAATATACAAACATTCAAACTGTAACTGTAACATACTTCGCCAACTTCCCACCGATGTTGGCGCGCCTGTCTGTACAAGTTATTCTTTGGCGAGCTACCGAGTCGTTCGTTGCGCGCAGTCTATTAATACGTTTCGCCTCCTCTATGGTACTTTAAGTCTAGTTTCGTTCTTGCTCTTTATTATTCTGGATAATGACCAAGCAGCTGTTTGTGCCAGAATCAGTTTGATGCTATTCGAAAGACAAATTTTGGTGTAAAATGGACAATTTACGCCACAAAGCTGGCTTAAAACTTGCATTAATAGTATAAAGAACAATTGTTTGTGAAAGTGTTTGTGAATTAGCTTTTAATGAATATAAAAACAAGACAGAAGACATTTTGAATGTACATTTTAGTTTTGTGTAATATAATATCTTTGTGAATATGAATTGCAAATTATCAGCAGGTCAGTTAAACTTGATATTTCATGTGTAATCGTCGTTGGGATCAATTTAGTATTTTATTATATAACTATTGTTATCGTCGTTCAGGAGTCATATTGCATGAAGTATATGGCAACAAAAATTATTTCAATAACGTTGTTATTGTTTTAAGTTCGATGTTTATAAATTATTAGCAGAACGTATTGCGATAATAATTCTAAAGACGACCAGCAATGACCAATCGGGAACATTGTTTGTTAATAACGTTTACATTTTTGTGCGATCATAATGGCTGTCGTTCGTATATATTATAAGTTATCGACAATATCAACTGCTTTTGTACGACATAGGTTGATTTAATGATAAGTTTGAGTAGACGATTTAGTACGATATGTGAGTTCTGATTATGCAGTCATACCGTGCTCTGATCAATTGATTAATGTCATACGAAATATGCAGAATGTGTTAACATAAATACGTACGTCGCAGATTTTGGAGAAACAGTAAGCTTTCATATGATTTATATACTAAACTTAGAGAAATCTTGATATCTTAAATAATTGGTTATGTGCGTCATCAAGTGTGATGCATTCATAAAAATATTACATCATAATTAACTTAAGAAACAACATATAAATTTTGATATTTCATCAAATAATAGAAGTTTTATAAATAAAATTTTGTAGTTGCTACATGTAATTCAAATTTAAAACTTTATTATGAAATTGCAATGACATGAAGTTTGACGCATACGAATTTTTACTTGACATTGGAAATATATTTCATGCTAAACATGCTAAACGCTTTAGTGAAAAATGTAATGTCTTATTTTTAATTTTATTTCAACTGAGACTTATAATTGACATTTATTAATAAATATAATTTCAAAATTCATTACGCTCATATCAATTTATTAAATATCATTCTACACACAAACATACTAAATTAGCACATTTATTAGCATGCTGCATGGAAATACTTGATAACAAATAATGTATGACCTTCAATTTAAATGCAATAAGTTAAATGTAATAATATACAAAAAATCTAATAATTTCCTACAAAAGTTTTAATTTATTCCTGTCAAGTTTAAATCAATTTCGTTCATTCCATCCGAATGGTTTCGGTGCATCTCCATTTTGTTTGTGATTTGATTGCTTAGCGAACATATGATCAAGGCACTTGTATTGTAATGGGTATATGCCCTGACAACAGCTGTTTCAATACATTTGATTGTGTTAGAAATGCTAGCGTGTGTCGCCGTGAAAAAAGTGTTCGCTCGTCAAACGATCGAAGTTTAAACTTTTAGAAAACACGTCGCTAGATTCGAAGGAAATCGAAAATATACATCCGCATATGTTTATTCTGTATGTTCGATATTGATTGAATTCCTTTATTTCTATGAAATGTAAATATAAATAATTTTTTTGATAATGTACATATATGCATACTTTAAATTTATTCTTTGATTTTATAAACTATGTATGAAAATTGATTAGATATTAATTATTTAGCTAATTGATAAGTTAATTATTTCGCTATTGACATCATAGATAAGCCATGGATTTTTCAATAAATTCATGTTTCTTTTCCAAACAATCAATCCAATAAATAAAAAAGAGTGCGCGTAAGGTTGAAGTAAAACTTTGTTGTAATCACAAGATGGCCTTTCAAATGTAAGTAAGTACATCATGTAACAATTTTGAATAATGTTTATTAGTAATATGGTAACATTTGTGATGCACACATTTATTAGTGTCAACCATTATACACGTTTTATATAATAATAAATTATAAATTATATATTTATATTAGCATTAAAAATATGTATAATATTTAAAAGCAATAATGTAATTAAAGTCATAGTTATAATATGGCATGATCGGTTTGTCATTGTAATTAGCATTTAGGACTTGGACCTTCAATAGAGAAATGCTGATTAATTAATTCTATAATATTCGTTCACACAGTGGATTATGTAAAACAACGCCTAAAAAATATTGTTTTCACAATTTCAGTCATCATGCAATAATTGTGTTTGAAGAACTTCATGTAATTAAAATTAACATACATTCATTGACTGCTTGTATTTTATTTACTTTTTCGCTGGCGATATAATTTCATTCTTTGAACAGCTTTAATATCTGTTTTGCCTAAAAAGTATTTTCCATTTTAATAACTTCAAAAATTTATAGAAACTACGAATAATATTGAAATTATTTCAATAAACTCACGTTTAGTGCAAGGCACAAATGTTTTATTTATTTTATTATTCGCATTATAATTATTTACGGGAAGCAGGGTAAAATATTCTTCTACTTCAGGAATTTTTTTTATTAAATCAAGATTTGTTCTACGATCTTATAATGTTTATTTATCTATGCCAATTTCCTTGTTGATATCGATACGCATACCATACATAATTAAGCATAAAATGACGCATACAACAATAGATCTCTATTCACACGACACGACGGCTATTTCATCGAGAGCGAATGACGTACAGTTCGGGCGTAACGCAATTTCCGTTGCATTCTCACAGTTTTACACCCTAGTCGCGCCTAAAGAAGTTTTACTTCAAAGAGTATTAGCTTTTTGGAGATAATTAATTAGGACGTTTTGCAATTAAATACTTTCCATGATCAGGTATTGTCCAAAACAGTTTTTTTTTAATATAGATTAACAATATTCATTATGATAATTACACAATATTGAGATAGACATAATTCATGTACCAGAAGAGAAGAAAGTAAAAAAAAGACGTGTATAAAAAGTGAAAAGTATAAAAATGTATAAAATTGAGCAGCAAAATTTATCTGCAATATAGATCTAATTCAGTGATATAGATTTATAGATCAATATTGCAGGAAAATAATTTTTGCTTCTATTTTATAATTTTTATACGTTTCTACATGTCTTTCTTTGTTTCTTTACTATCTTTCGTACGTAATCCATTCTTTTATAATATTTTCTTAATATTCTGTAATTATCATCATTAATATTGTTAGTCTACAGTAAAAAAGTTTTTGACAGAAAAACCTAATTGTTTTTTTATCTATTGGATTAAATATTTGGTTATATATAATATAATTGTTTAATAGGCTGAATGATGACACACAGCAAGGGTCGAAAAGTATAATTAATAATGTTTTTTTAACCTTTTTTTATTGGCATGAATGTGTTGCAAATTATTTCATATATGTTATATTAAATATTATCTAATGTTTTATTCTATACTTGAGTATATCTATTATAGTACTATATAATTTAATCTAATCTATACATTTATATATGCATTTTGGTTACTTTTTTTATTTTCCAGGATTTTTATTTCGTTTAATTTAAAAAGTACATTGTATGTTTTTTACTTAAACACCTATCTTCACTTCAAAGGATTTTTTTTTTTAAATATACATATCATTTTATATCTAGTTAATATTAATTCTGTGGTGAAAATATCATGAAAACCATTAAGTCAGTGGTTCCCAACCTTTTAGCGTTTTTTTTTAAAAAATGTTACTTCCCTCTTCATTTTTCTTGGATTCTAATTTCATAAATACTCTACAGATTTTATCAGGCTACAAATTAATATACAATAAATATTATGTAAAAACATGTATATACATGAAAAATAATTATTTAATCATTATTTTTTTTATATTATTTTAACATTTTTGGTATATTTTCGAAAATAGTAATATTTTGAGAACAGCAGTATGCTTCTCGTAGAACTGCCTTTTGTGTCCCCCAGGGAGCGCGCCCCACAGGTTGGAAACCACGGAATTAACTATATATTTAAAGACAACACAAATTACATTTTATGGAGAATATCAGATGATATAATATTTTTTGTTTGTAGTTTACACAAAATTGGTTTAAATTTTTTATAAAACTTGGTAACACTTGGCATACCTAAACATATTTTCTATTACAGAACCTATCTAGTTTATAATTGTATTATTTGTATTATTATTTTAAAAAATGATTTTGAAATTTTCATAATAGTCCAGTCATTTAAGCTTAAATTAGGTAAGAACCTCGAAATTCGAGATACCCAGCTGTAAGCCTGTAAATACTTGTATATTGACACCTTAAAAGTTGTCTCAAAACCCTACATATGGTATTGACACCCTACCTTATGTAGGTTTTGAGACAACTTTAGGGTGACAATACACAAGTATTTATAGACTTACAGCTGGATATCTCGAATTCCGAGGTGAACTTACTGAACTATAATTTTTGGAACATGTAATGCGTGAAGTACAATTTTAGAAAATACTTTACAAGAAAATATTCACTTTTTTGGTATGAATTACACTGTTGTTGTGTTCCTTGATTTGCCAAAAACTGCTTCAGTTTGAATTTTTTGTAATTTATTTATATTCTTGTTTGTCGTGCACAAGATTCTTTACGATCAGTAAATAATAATTTATACATCATAACATTATACTAGTTTTATCAACAAATTACATCACCAGCCCAGATTTTATTAGGTTTGCCATACTATTATTTGAATATTTATAACCGTTTGAGGCTTCTGAATGATGAGTAATACTGGGGAAATAATTGTTGCCAAGCATCGGTCTATGAGGTTAACTATTTATAAGAAATTCTCTTTGCATTCCAAGGCTATATGACTTTGAAATTCGCATTAACTTATATAAATTATGCAACATAAATTAATTGATCTCAATAAAGTATATATGTATAATAATTTGTTTATTGTAAAAATAAGAACAAGTAGGAACCAGACAATATACCAAAAAATAGTGGAAAGAGAAAAAGAACAACTTTTCATTTCATTCATTTTTATTTAAAAAAAAACATAAATTTTAGTAATCCTCATGAACAAGCAAACTGCATAGCGTCATGTACTAATATTTAATCTTACAAATAATATGCAAATTAAAAATGTAAATTCTTAGACGATTTTTATGTTCGTATACTTACTAATCATTCAAAATGTTTTATTAAACTCGAGGAAGTTTATGTTGTTATAAATTGGAATTCGTGAACCAGATTT